TGAATAACAAGATGGGCCACTCAGCCAAAAAAGTGTCCGCAGGAAGTGTGCTCTTTGCTTCAGATGGCGCTGCAGTCTGTTTTGAAGCTCTCTTTCGTTTTTCCAGAAGAAGAATAGGAATAGCACCTCCTTGCGTGCGCAGATCGACTGCTGTTCATCAGCAGTTCGGGTACGTTCAGTGCGGAGTTTTATTTTTTAAAATTATTTTAATGACCTCTCGGCTTTCATTCTAAAGTCAAATTAAACGAAGAAAACCATCACCCTTTCCTCCGGAAGAGGTTTTTTGTCAGCGTAACAATTTTTAAAAAGCGTTCTTCCGAAATTTATCCCAAAACTTGCTAGTTTCACTTTGATTTTTTAAAACTCAAGTAGGGTAACTCTGTTCGCAAAGAGTGCGCTTTTGTGAAGAGGACGCCACCAAATTTTGAGGACACTTTTTTAATTGGCTCAAAGAGAGAAGTGGCCCATCTTGTTATGTACTATCATTGGCACACCTCTGAGATCGGCCCAAAATAGATCATAGATGATGTTTTTCCGACATCTATTTTTGGTCGTGTTCCGAGGTTTCCCTCGCGAGTTGACGACTTCATTGTTGTGGATCCCCTAGACCTACCACCCTTTATTTATTGTGAGGCAGCATGGTGGAATCAGGCTGTCGTCAATTTTGGGGTATGTAGAGTCATTGTTATCATCTTAAAGCTTTTTCACTTGCCTTTATTTCGAAGAAAAAATATCAATTGATCTTGAATACAAGTCGAGATATTTGCAAAAGAAGAAGATGGGGATCACTTGTTTTCAGGGGTAAAATTAGTGAGAAAATGGCCGCCAAAGATTAGTTTTTTTCCTAAGCTCTTAAGTCCGTGGTGAAAATTTACATTTTTTGTGCCTTTAATCAACGTTTTTCCACAAAAATCCACACACAAATGAGTTCTTTAATGGGCATGAAAGGTGTTGCGCCAAAAAAAAAAAAGAATTTAATAAAAATTCACAAACCTGTGGGAAAATGCCAATTTCTTGACTTTTATTATTTTGACGAGAGCCTGATTCCACCACGCTGCCTCACAATTATTTAATTATTATAATTCATCGGAATGCCGGTGACAAAGTTACTAACAATAGAAATGCAGCGCCGTGATGTTGTAAAGATTGTCTAACTACTACCAAGATGTTTCAATTGCCCTATTTCGGGTCTGAACGAGACTTGGGCGCTAGATCTACCATGTCTTCTTAGCGCGTGACGGCCCATGATACGAGTGTAAACAAACGTTCCAGCGCTGAGTTGAAAGCGATAAATGTTGTCTTCGGGCAGAGAAAGAGAGAGGGAGAGAGAGGGGGGGGGA